TTTACATCGACTGGGACCCGCAAGTCATTATATGGGTCATATGGCATTCAAAATGCCATTACTATTCTGACTAGAACTAGAACGCAAGCCGCATTCAGAGAAGGATCAATCAATGGTAAAAGCTTAGTTTGTTACCTTGCCAGAAGTTACAGAAAAAATTAGATTTGAAAAAAGATGGCCTCCACTATTACATCGCGGCGGGGATCATATCAAAGACATTCCTAAACTGCCTGCGCTTCCTCGGTAATGTCACCTCCTTACGTTCTCGACATAAGGGAAGACTTTAAAACGGGACTCAACTATCTAACCGAAGACGAGGACAATCTGCCCAGATCATCCCACCGGAGACCTTATGTACAGCCTAATTCACCCGCTCATGCATACCTTCAGATTGTCTCTTATTTTGCTTTTTATTTGTTGTTTTAATTATACTATTGTATATCAGGTCAGTAACTATTAGGTCAGGTTAGTAAGTGGACAAACTGAAAAGATTGCAAAACCACAAAGAGGAGCAGTGAGCTACAGTACCTGCATTGATATAACCGCCTCAACGTACAGCAGCTCGCCTTTAGCAGCTGCATTCATCAAAAACGGATAGCTTGACCAACACGTCACTCGGGATTCTTGGCCTTCCTAAACGTCATCACTATGAAGTACCATTTTGGACTAGAAAATTGAGCGAAGGAAAACTTCGCAAAAACTTACTTTTTACATAATTTTGTATCTGAATGTACCTCAAAAACTTTGTCCCGGAAATGAGTAACCGTTCTTCTTACCTGGCCACGTGCCCATTTTACGTAGTCCATTTTCAAATTGTAGTTTTCAGCTAGCTCATGGATATAAAAGTTCTCCAGCGGAATATTATTCGTAACCTGAATGAGAATAACTTTTCCTTAGGACGAAATTTGACTTTCCGTGCAACCGTTTGATTTTAAAGGTTCACCAACACTTTTAACATCGAGCAGCGCTAGCGTAGGGGCATTTGTGGACATTTCAATGTGACTAGAATGAGTAATTTCGTCGCTGGATTGATCAGAAGTTTTCAGAAAGACTCTACTTGCACACGATAACAACGAATAATCTAAAGGGGAAAGCAGCTCATAGACTCGCTAACCAAGGTTGTCTCCTGAAACTATTGCAATACCTAATCTGAATCACCCGCCCTTTCGGGCCGCACGAAGGGATATTCCACGCCTGTTGTATGGGCAGTCAAAGGTGTCGTGCCTTACTTGCTGTAGAGTCGCTTCTAAGGCAATAAAAAATGAAAGCCGTGCCAATAATGAAGGTATGGTCCATTCATTGGTATACTCGTACAGCGCGTGGTCCATGGAATAGTTCAGTACACAATAGTTTAGCAAAGACTTTTTGGGGAAACATCATCCTTTGCTTGGATTGTTTTGCTCCTTTACTCTGGATTGGTTTGCTGATTAACTTTCTGCCAACAAATACAGACAATTACAATATTGATAATGATGAAAAAATATTAGGTGAAGGATTCTGAATCCTATAGAAAGCACGATTTGCGTTTTTTTATGAATTGTTGGTTACAGACTATTTCCTGGCCCTGGTGCAAAGAGAGTTGGCCAGCCCAGATTTTTCCGTGGTAAATAATTGACTTACTTCTTAACTGCTCTAAAAAACTAGGTTTTTCGATCCAATCTCCTAAAAAAGCGCTTCGTGGGACGGCCTGAAGTGTATGCATGCCGCGCTTGTGCCGTTCAAGAAAGCGCGCCGGTCCCACGTGGCCGAAAAGTAAAAACCCGCGCGGTCGTCCGTGTTAAGTGATTAAGTGAAGCAACGGATACGGGATATAAACTGAGTATAGCTTACCACTAGAAAAAAATGAGTGAGATGATCTACGCAGTTTTATACGGTTTCTATAGAAAACAGTATCACCGATAGGTTATGAAGGTGGCACGTAAAATGCTGAGGCCTGCGTGGTGCAGTGACTAGCAATACGCTTACCACGCGCGCGGTCCGGTGGTAAAATCGAGGATCGGCTACAGCCCACGCCAATCGAGTCTTCCATCCTTCGGGTAGGTGCTAATTGTATCAGATTATATTGGGAGGATAAGAATACCAGCTCATTGCAATGTTGGCACCCCGTAATGTCCAATAGGTAGCTAGAAAAAAAAAATAAAATTTAAAATAAAAAAAATTAAAACCTGGCATAATAAGCCACTACGATTCTGAATGGAAGCAAAACGCACGCCGCATCCCATAAAACAATCTATTAACGCCGAAAGCTTCATCATTCACTTTTACTTTGCCAGAACGTTAGTCACAAATGACTACATGGTCGAACGTCCTGATTCGCGCAGTACTCGGACACAAACATACGAGACCTGGGCTCAAAATGGCCTTATTTCCCGACTAACAGCCCATGCGATTCTTACCTCTTCTGATCACTCAGGTACTGGCTCAACGGAGAACACTAGATCTTTTGTCCCTTCGCCGCATCAGCAGCCACAGACAGCATTTTACTCGCACTGTTGCCCCAAAAATGAAGAGTGGTCAGTGGTCCAACGTTCCCGCGGCATATGGAGCGGCTTTAAGAGAGAGCGGAAACACTTAATAAGCCACATTCCTGCTGAAAAAATAAGCTATGACCTACTCAAAATGCTGTCGGTATGACCCGGAAGCGATTTTTGAGCTGCCGCACTTTCAAAATGCTGAAAAACGCGAAAGAAACTCCGACCCTAGAGCTGGCTAATTAGGCCCATGGACACCCCTTAGGCCCATGCCGACCCTCACCGGCTGCTAGCTACTAGCTAGTAGCCACTATGTTATCTTTATCTATAACATTTCGGACTGCTTTTACTGCTGCTTTTCTCCGCTAATCAGATACTTAGCACTTTTTTGTGCCTATTTGAGTTCCGTTTCCCGCAATTTGCGGTCGCGAACTGTGCCTTTAAATTGAAAGCAAGTATTACTATTATATCCTTTTTCCTTTTCATTTTATTTGGATAAAACCTTCCACGTTTTTCAATGGGATACCTTATGGAAAGTCAATACTATACTATTACAGTGTTACATAGCTCCAACTTACCCTATTGATCGCGCTTAGCGATGCCAAGATATCCAGAAACACACGGCATTCTTGAGGGTCCACCTTGTCTTTCACTAGACATCGCACTGCTGACATCATCACTGTGACGAAGCGATTGAAATGTCGTAACGGAAGCTTTACCCACCACTTCTCTGGAAAACTCTACCTGCTCTTACAACGGAAAATATGTAGTGACATGCAAGGGTATGAAAAAACCAATCTCCTCACCTAAAGAATTCCGGAATGCTGGTCGGAGCTTCGATATGGATTCAGCAAACGGTAAATGTAGCCGGGTTACCGTATCTTTGGACACATTCATTACAAATCCATGGAACCATACCAGTATCAAATATACCCGAAGAGCTTCTACGGAAGCCGTCCCTGACGGATTGAAGTCATCCGCAAAGACGGACATGCTCAATGTATCAATGATCTGAATACTTCAAGATCACTTTGACTAGTATAGAACAGTTGTTGAGAGAACCTACCAATTCAGCATACTGACGGGCATCCGATGAATCTCCAAGAGCACCAAACGCCTCCATGACGTCGTCCAAGTTCACTCCATGAACATGTCCTTCATGCAGAAAACGTCGATCATCGTCAAACAAAAACGAACCATTTATACAATTTACCGACGACAAAACTGATTCAAGCAGTCTGAAAGCAGGAAAAGATTCATTATTCCAGTTTGTTCTACGGAACTTGTGTCAATGTTACAACTTGTGGCAGTGTTAAATTTGGCCTGAGAAAAATTTTCAATCACGACATTTAATGGGATGAAGTGGCACTTCCCGATAGCTACATTACCTGCTCAACGGCAAACTGTATACTCGCGGGGTGAAGGGTGGGGCCATACTGCAGCAGCCTGCCACTTTCTCCGCATAAAGCAGAGCTGGAGAGTAGTGATACCAGGGTGCACCCTGAGACCAG